CGCTGTAGGAGGGGGACAACTGAAAATGGAGGCCTCCACATGTGATGTGAATATCGGTCACCTGGAGGCAGGACTCAAAAGCCTGAATTTTGCCTGAAACTCTCAGACTGAAGAAGTCTCTTGGAAGAGAGACGAAACGTTTCATTAAAGAAGAACCCGTCCAGAGGACCTATACAATTTTTTTCCTTTTGATTTTTTTACCTGGATTACTGAGATGCATCAGGACATTTTCATAAGCGCTTTAGAAATTGCAGAGCTAATTTTTGGGTTAGTGCTGCCCACCACTGTGTAAGCTATATATGTGTTTTTAAGGTCATTGAATTTGCACATTTACAATGGTGTTTTCATAGCAACCCCAGAGTTTACCCAGTTGACCTCAATGACCTGTGACCAGAAGAGCTAGGCTTCGCCATGAGCATTTGTGATCATTTCTAACAACAAAATGCTCTATTACATTGTGTGTCACATTATATATTTATCTGTTATTTATTCATTTAGATACTTATTTCATAATGTTTTGTTTATTTATTTGATTATGAACATTCCTGTGTTCCATATTTGACAGGCTGACCTTTTCAAAGGCACTTTTTAAAAAAAACTACATCTCCCATGGTGCCTCTCGCGCTGCGTGATGACGCAGCAGAGCATCAACAACTCACATGTGGCCTAGAAGGCGCCTGCCGTGTGCTAGCAAAATCTGTTAAATGTGGGGCAGTTTACCGGCCGAAACACCTGAATAGATTCATATTCCGCTGCTATTCTTGAGCCAACATGCCGCCGAAGAAGCCTCCCCCTGCCACGGGAAATAAAAAGACTCAAGAGAAAAAAAAGGAAAAGATTATTGAGGTAAAAAGTGCACGAGTTAGCATGTTTGCGTTTTAGTGTTAGCTCTAAGCTAACGTTAACCGAACTACGTAAAGTCTTTTAGACGTGAGGACAGTATTGTGGATTAAATTATCTTTTTAATCTATAATTGTGATTATTTCAGTTTTTGTTAAATAAAAAGCTTAGGCAGCTGTCATGAAGCTCAAAGTGTTAAATCAATCATGTAACACAGGAGCTGCTAAAGCCGGGCCTGGCTTTGAACCACGACTGTAGTACTCATGTTTTAGATTATAGTTTTATAGATTATTCTGTGGTTTTAATCGTTGTGGCTTTTTATATAAATGCTTAAATTGATTGTTTAATAAAGCTTATTTTGGTGAAGGTAGCAGACAGAAAAATGAAGTATTAAACTGTTCATTTAATTAATTATAGCAGCTCCTATGGGACATATATATATA